AGTGTTTTGTTGTAATCTGGTAGTGTTTGGTTGTAATCTGGTAGTGTTTTGTTGTAATCTGGTAGTGTTTGGTATTAATCTGGTAGTGTTTGGCAGTAATCTGGTAGAGTTTAGTTGTAATCTGGTAGTGTTTGGTAGTAATCTGGTAGTGTTTGGTAGTAATCTGGTAGAGTTTAGTTGTAATCTGGTAGTGTTTGGTTGTAATCTGGTAGTGTTTGGTAGTAATCTGGTAGTGTTTGGTAGTAATCTGGTAGTGTTTGGTAGTAATCTGGTAGTGTTTGGTAGTAATCTGGTAGTGTTTGGTTGTAATCTGGTAGTGTTTGGAAGTAATCTGGTAGTGTTTGGAAGTAATCTGGTAGTGTTTGCTTTGCTTTGTTGCAATCGAATTTTCACAAAAATTAACCCCAAAAAAGCCAGAGAAATACAGGGAAATCTCTGTAGACTGATTGCATATGATACCGTTCAGCCTTATAATCTTAAAATGTGAGCAAAATCAGCTGTTTTATCATCACTTTAGACATTACGCTACAGAATCATTCAAACACTAGCTCTAAAGTGACATTGGTGAATGAGCAGTGGTTACTGCTGGTCTGACGTCAGCTGCAGATGGGAATGAATAACAAAAGAAAGTAGTTCCTCATACAAAAGGGTTTTTGAGACTTTCTGTGTTTGATTTGTTTTTCTATATGAATGAATATGACGTCGAACTGTTGTATAAACGCAATATCACACTGTATATCAGCACTGGTGGGACACTAAGGTACTTGGCCTGCAGCCTTCAGTCAATGCACGCCTCCTACCAGTGTCGATATACAGCACTATCCCACTGCTACTCGCGTCATATACATGCACTCAAAACATGCAACTACTTTAGCTGTGCATTTATCTGACAAGTACGGCACACCTTAGAATGAACATCAGCCAATCAGATTCAAGCATTCTGCAGACTCATAGTATATGTTCTGCTTTAATGCATGTGGAGTTCTATAACAAAACATAGTTGGTTCTTCTTAAACACATTTTTTTAATATCATGGATAATCGCACCTTAACATCGAGTACGTGAAGCTCAACCCGCACGTTCCTCTCGTCCTCGGTGTACATCTCGATGCGGTTCACATGGCTGAAGTCGGCCAGAAGAGCCACCAGGTTGGTTTTGGTGTTGATCACATGACTGATGCCGTATCTTGGTCCCACCAGCAGCGTTACTTCAGTGTGTTTCTCTCCTTGCTGTCAGATCACAATCCAGAGATATAAAAAAACAATGCAGTTGTGTTCACCCTCATTTTGCTTATTTTCCAAATGCTGGTGCTGTTTAACAGAGAGGTTTTTCTTCCACATTTTAAAACATAGTAGTTTAGCCATGATAACAGCACAAAATCCAAAAATGGCCTGTGTGAAAATGTTTGCACCCTAAACCTACATTTACATTTAGTCATTTAGCAGACGCTTTTATCCAAAGCGACTTACAAATGAGGACAAGGAAACAATTTACACAACTATAAGAGCAACAATGAAGAAGTGCTGTAGGCAAGTTTCAGGTGTGTAAAGAAAATGTAAGAAGCAAAACAGTAGTAATTTATTGTTATTTTTTTGTGTGTGGTAGTTAGTGGAGGAGCCAGAGAGGCGATTGCAGATTAGGAAGTGAAGTATAGACTAAATAGTTGAGTTTTTAGTGGTTTCTTGAAGACAGCGAGTGACTCTGCCGTTCTGATGCAGTTAGGGAGTTCATTCCACCAACTGGGCAGATTGAGCGCGAGAATTCAGGAAAGTGATTTCTTCCCTCTTTGGGATGGAACCACGAGGCGACGTTCATTCACAGAACGCAAGTTTCTGGAGGGCACATACATCTGCAGAAGTGAGAGCAGAAAAGAAGGAGCAAGGCCAGATGTCGCTTTGTAAGCAAACATCAGAGCTTTGAATTTGATGCGAGCAGCAACTGGCAGCCAGTGCAAACGGATGAGCAGCGGAGTGACATGTGCTCTTTTAGGTTCATTGAAGACCACTCGTGCTGCTGCGTTCTGAAGCAGCTGAAGAGGTTTGATAGAGTTAGCTGGAAGCCCGGCTAGTAGAGAGTTGCAATAGTCCAGTCTGGAGAGAACAAGAGCTTGAACAAGGAGTTGAGCTGCATGTTCAGATAGGAAGGGTCGGACCTTTCTGATGTTATAGAGTGCGACCACATGTTATAGAGTCCACACACAACTAATAACTGGATTAAACCTTGTGTGGTGTTCAGCTCTGTGAGACCCGTTTTCAGTTTTTTTTTTTTTTTTTTAAAAGAAAAATTAAACAATGAATTATTTTTTTAACCGGATATTCATTGGCTTTGGCTTATTTTCTGTGAAGAACATAAATTTACTGTACATTACATACATGGTGTTCGGGTCCACTAGGCCCAGTTCTAATAAAAGTGTTGCAAGTGTAGGTCCAGTGTTCCCACACTCTGTCTTCGTCCTTTATGGTGTTGCAGTTTTCTTCCCCTCCCCCTCCCGCTCTCCACAAAGTTGCAACATTGTTAAAAAAAAACCCAACTATCAACAGTGTCTGCTCTTACATTCCCGCACATTTTACCCTCTCTCTTGCGGGAACCAAGCTTTATTTTCTCATACCCTGTCCCATCTGCGAATTAGCAGCTATAGTACTATAAATAAGACTTTGCCAGTGTGGTTCCTTATCACAACTTATGGCCAAAAGATTATCTGCTGCGAGGGCCTTGCAATTGATTGTAGAAGAGGAGGGGCTTCTGATGATGATGTCTATGACCATGGCGGGAACAATACGAAAAAACAAATCTGTGGGTTTTATTTTTTACATAACATTATTAAAAAAAAAACGAGAAGCACATTAATTCATCAATATGATCTAACAAAGATAAAAGGGACAAATTAACCATGTTTGCTGTTCATGTGGCTTGTAATTGGGATTAAGTAAACATTTGTTGAGTAATTCAGAAAGCCAAAACTCTAGTGGGTCCACCAGACACGTGAACACTGGCTGAGAAACCAAAATATGAACGCCACACAAGGGTTAAACCATTTTTTGTTAATATTATGTAATGAGCTTTAACTAAGTGCTGTTATTTTAGAATCACTGAGATACTTGTGAAGCTTTTATACTAGTAGCTTTAAAAAAAAATCTAAATTTTTATTTATAATACTTATTATTTTACATATATTGTATATTATTTAGTTTGTCTATAGATTATGAACATATTAGTCTATGAAGTTATTTTTAATGACATTTTTCCAAGTCAACATACACATACACTTACATTTTTTTTTATATTTCCCAAATGATTTCTAACAAAGCAAGGAAATGTTCACAGTATGTCTGATAATGTTTTTTCTTTTGGAGAAAGTCTTATTTGTTTTATTTTGGCTAGAATAAAAGCAGTTATTCATTTTTTAAACACCATTTAAAGGACAAAATGACTAGCCCCTTTAAGCTATATTTCTTTCAGATAGTCTACAGAACAAACCATCATTATACAATAACTTGCCTAATTACCCTAACCTGCCTAGTTAACCTAATTACCCTAGTTAAGCCTTTAAATGTCACTTTAAGCTGTATAGACGTGTCTTGAAGAATATCTAGTAAAATATTATTTGCTGTCATCATGGCAAAGATAAAATAAATCAATTAGAAATGAGTTATTAAAACTATTATGTTTAGAAATGTGTTGATAAAATCTTCTCACAGAAGAAACGAGAAACAAATTTAGGAAAAAAAATAAACAAGGGGGCTAATTAATTCTGACTTCAACCGTATAAATAGACATAAAAAGAACAACAAAAAACAAAGATTCAATTTTTTAAAATGCTAGTTAAAATTAAAATGAAAAGGGTGAAAAGTAATTTTATTATTTAATGATTTAATTTATTGCATTTATTGTATTGAAAAAAAAAGAAAAAAGAAAAGTGCAACAACATACAGTTCAAGTCAGAATTATTCGCCCTCCTATGAATATATATATATATATATATATATATATATATATATATAGAATCTTCTTCAAATATTTCCCAAATGATGTTGAAGAAATTCAGGAATTTTTCACAGTATTTCTTCAATTTTTTTTTCTTCTGGAGGAAGTCTTATTTGTTTTATTTCGGCTAGAATAAAGCAGTTTTTAATGTTTTTAAACCCGTTTTAAGATCAATATTATTAGCCCCTTTAAGCAATTTTAGTTTTGGATTGTCTCCAGAATAAACCACTGTTATACAATAACTTGCCTAATTACCCCAACTTTACCCTAATTACCCTAGTGAAGCCTTTAAATGTGACTTTAAGCTGAATAATAGTGTCTTGAAGAATATCTAGTCTAATATTATTTACTGTCATCATGACAAAGAGAAAAGAAATCAGGGATTAGAAATGAAATATTAACTATTATGTTCAGAAATGTGTATCTCTCCAAAAAATATAAATAGACTACAATTGAACAGGACGGCAAATAATTCTGACTGTAACACGAACTCTGAAGTAACACGGCTGTTTAAAACTCCTTTAAGTGTCCTCAACACTTCTTTCATACAGTATGTAGTGAATGTCGTGCACCGTTTTTTTCTGCACTTACAACCAGTGTAGACTTGAACACTCGTCCTCCATACAGCCGCAGGTCACTCAAATACTTCAGATAATGAACCTTCGCCTGTAACGCCGTCAGCTTCAACACAAAACAGAAATCCACAACAATTAGAGAACAGAAACTGGCCAGAACATAAACACACACTCCTGCTTCTCCTTTTGACCATGAGAAAAACACACAAGGTAAAGTTCAGCACTTCTTTTTTTATTTAGGTGTTAACAAGGTGTTTAGTCTGATTAATAAACAAACAAATAAACAAATTAATAAACCCATTCAAAACAAAAGATAAATGCATTTGACCTGTTGATCAAATTCTGATTAAAACTGTCAAACTCTTTACAACTTCTCGATCATTTTTCATCATGTAAGTCAGGGGTGTCAAACTCAATTGCTGGAGGGCCGAAGCCCTGCACAGTTTAGTTCCAACCCTGCTCCAACACACTTACCTGTAGGTTTCAAACAAGCCTGAAGGACTCAATTATTTTGATCAGGTGTGTTTAATTAGGGTTGAAACTAAACTGTGCAGAGCTGAGACGGAGTTTGACACCTGTGGCGTAAGTCATCACACTCAAAACCTTTCATTTAATTTTCAAACTTATGTATATGCACGTTTACATCATAAATATCTAGTACTGATATTGTCTTTAATGTCTGCTAAATTGGTAAATGACCTCTAATTGCAATACAGATAGCCCCATCTATTTCAAGAGTTCACACTTTGCTGATGATTGCTTATAAAGCAAGTTTGGCATGCTGTCCTGAGAAAGAGTTCTGAGCTCAAAGGTACTTGAGCCCTGGGCTCCCTCTCGTTTGTAAGTAAGTATTAAAAATATGAAGTTTTTATAAATTTAAAATAGAACAGAATAGAAAGTGTGGGAGGAGCAAGTGTTTTTTTATTCCTCATCTTAAGTATTGCATTTTGCTGGAAATCATGATAGGTGTGCAGTTTAGCTGGGACTGGCATCCCTATTCACATTCCACACTGAGGAATCTGAATCCGGGAGAGCAGCTCAAAAGATCCGTTTTAACCCGTCTCTTCAGCTGTGTGTGTGTGTGTGTGTGTGTGTTCACCTTTTTGCCAGGAGGCACCAGGTTCTGGTTGGTCTTCAGGATGTGTGTGAGAGCCTTCTTGATGTTCTTCTCCTTCATGCTGGACAGAACGGCTGGAGGCAGAAACTGAGCCAAACCCCATTCCTTCCTGCAAACACACAACACAGCGTTTAGCACATACACACATATACACTCATATGCACACACACACACACACACACACACACACACACACACACACACACACACACACACACACACACACACACACACACACACACACACACACACACACACACACACACACACATCTCTTCTGCTCGAAATGACGACAATTCCATAAACTTTCTCTCATACAATAAAATAATATGGTGACACTTTAGTTTAAGTAACAATTCTCACTATTAACTAGGGGCTTATTATTACACGCCTGTTATTATGACATTAACTGTTCATTAATATTTATAACAATCACATATTCTGCATGATATTACTCTACATCACTAACCCTACCCAATACCCAAACCCAACTACTACATTAATAACTACTAATAAGCAGCAAATTAAAGGTTTATTAAGCTAAATCTCAGTTAATAGTAAAATATCATGTACATTTCTTGCACAGGTTCTCTCATGTTATAGTAATGTTTAGTAATTTACTTATTAATTCATAATAAGGTATTTTGTATTATAAATATAGAATATACAATAAGGCAGCACGGTGGAGCAGTGGGTAGCATGTTCGCCTCACAGCAAGAAGGTCGCTGGTTTGAGTTCCAGCTGGGTCAGTTGCATTTCTGTGTGCAGTTTGCATGTTCTCCACGTGTTGGCGTGGGTTTCCCCCACAGTCCAAACACATGTGGTACAGGTAAATTGGTGAACTAAATTGTCTGTAGTGTATGAGTGTGAATGAGTGTATGGTTGTTTCCCAAGTCATGGATTGGAGCTGGAAGTGCATCCGCTGTGTAAAAACTAATGCTGGATGAGTTGGCGGTTCATCCCGCTGTGGCGACCCCAGATTAATAAATGGACTAAGCCGAAAAGAAGATCTTTAAATATATATTTTTTCTATATAAACAACTTTTCTGTATATTTTCTACAGAATTTTTAATGACATGTTGTTGAATATGTATGTGATTTTACTATGTGTGTATGTGCATGTATGTTTATGTGCATCTATACGTATGTATTTGTTTGTTTACATGTACATATTTTGTGTGCTTTTATTTTCTATACACACTCATGTTGTACTTTGAGAAATATGTTGTATAATACTTATCATTTCTATTAACTTTCTATTCTCTCTCTCTCTTTTATTACTGAATTAATTCTGTCTGTCGGATGAGATTTTAAGCCGAGGTCCTGACTCTCTGTGGTTGTTAAAAATCCCAGGATGTCCTATAAAAAGGAGTAGGGGTTTAACCCAAATCTCCCCACTGTCCATCACGGCCTCCAAACCATCCCCATATCATAGTTGGTTTCATCCCAAATGGCACACTATACACTATGCACTCATGCACTATATACTTATGCACTTACACACTCAACAGGATAGTACATGTATGTAGTGTCGTCCCAAATGGCACACTAGTGTTTTTTTACTAAGCGGAAATTCAAACCGTTTCCCTGATGACGTTTGACAGTTGCCAAATCAGTGAAATAAACGACCGAATTATCAAATAATACCTGCCGTGAGTATAACCGCATTCACCATCGGGAGGCGCTATAATCACTCTCGTAGGAGAATTTTGCTCTCACCATCCAAAATAAATAAAGTTATTCAACATGTGCGTCTGATAGCTCCGCCCCTTCCGCTACATAAGCAAACCTGCGGTGGTTGAGTGTGTGAAGTGTCCATCATTACACACTTCATTTTAGCGGCTGAATGAGTGCATCATCCGGGTAATTAAAGTGCACTAATTATTTTTAGAGTTTTCAGTGTGAACAAACTACTTACACTATTTATACTACAAAATGGCGTAGAATAGTGCATAAGTATGCGATTTGGGACGCAGCTTCTGTCTCCTCTCCACCAATCAGCTGGTGTGTGGTGAGCGCTCTGGTGCAATATGGCTCTGGTGGATGCTGCACACTGCTGGTGGATGAGGAGATTCCATCCAAAAATATGTAAAGCGCTTTGAGTATCCAGCTATGCAAGCAATTATTATTATTATTACTATTATTATTGACTGTTGAGTTGACTTTGTGTTCAATATATTATTACTGTATTGTTTATATATTCTATTGAGTATGTAACCATAGTCATTCAGTCATTCATTCATTCATTTTCTTGTCGGCTAAGTCCCTTTATTAATCCAGGGTCGCCACAGTGGAATGAACCGCCAACTTATCAGCACGTTTTTACGCAGCGGATGCCTTTCCAGCCGCAACCCATCTCTGGGAAACATCCACACACACATTCACACACACACTCATACACTACGGACAATTTAGCCTACCCAATTCACCTGTACCGCATGTCTTTGGGGGAAACCGGAGCACCCGGAGGAAACCCACGCGAACGCAGGGAGAACATGCAAACTCCACACAGAAACGCCAACTGAGCCGAGGTTCGAACCAGCGACCTTCTTGCGGTGAGGCGACAGCACTACCTACTGCGCCACTGCATCGCCTTATGTGACCACAGTGTTCAAACAAACTCCAGATGCACCTGAACTACACTGATGAAGGCTGAAACGTGTAGGTGCAGTGTTATGGAATAGGCATCTTAATGAAGGCTTTCAAAATATTTGCTTCACTTTTTTTTTTAAATGCTTTGGACGTATAATTTCGCTTTAGATCTTAAAAAGCTGTTTGATCAGGGCTAAACCTGAACTGGACACTCTAAAACAAGCTAACAATGTGCTGAAACATACTCTGCAGCAAAACTTGCTGAAACCTGCTAGTAATGTGCGCAAACATCCCAGCAATCCATCTGTCTGACAGACTGTCTGACCTTGTAAACCTTCAGCTTTTAAAACGGCTGCTTGCTCACATTTTACGGCCTCAAACCTTCTGCTCGGGCAACTTTAATGAACCCTTCCCAAACTGTTATTCAATCAATCTGAATTCTTGAAATTCATAAGCTGATCTGAAGCTGGTTTCCCCCAAATGTAAAGGGGACCAGTTAAGTCCCTTTATACAAGATGCAAAATAAGTCTCTGATGACTGTGTGTGAAGTTTCAGCTCAAAATAGCACACAAATAATGCTTTATACCTCTCTGAAACTGACCCTTTCAGGCTTTGATCCTAATTGTGGTGTTTTGGTGACTGTCGCTTTAAATGCAAATAAGACTGCGCTCTTTTTAGAAGAGGGCGGAGCTACAAACGCCTGTGTGTCAGCAGTGGCAGATTCAAAACAAGTCTAACGTCCTATGCTAATGAGGGAGAGATTGTCAATAGTGGGCGGGGCTTTCTCCCTCTGATGACATGTACAAAGGGAGAATTTAAATCAAAGTGTCGAGTCTGATTATAAACAATACAATTAATTCATGCTGACCGTTAGAGGCTGTGTGTTAGTTGTGTGTCAGCAGTGTGTGGTTAAACCCCTTATAAAAGTCAGTTTTACATAATAGGTGTCCTTTAAAACCTAAAAATTAAAGGGACAGTTCCCCCGAGGCTGAAAATTCCAGCATAATTTACTCTCCCTTCACTTGTTCCAAACCTGTTTGAGTTTCTTTTCTCTGTTAAACACAAAAGAAGATATTCTGAAGAATGCTTACAACCTGTAACCATTGACTTCCATAGAACTAGTTCTTCCTACTATGGAAGTCAGTGGTTACAGGTTTTCAGCTTTCTACACAATTTCTTCAGAATATAGAAACTCATAAAGATTTAATAGCACTTGAATGAACAGTGAGTAAACTTACATGTTTGGTTGAACGATCCCTTTTGTATTTATGGTGTTTGTCATGGCATTTATGATATTTAAAACATTTTATGACCTCAAATGCCATACAAATGAAGATCTTTCAAAGAATTTTGATGACTTAAATTTACACACATATTTCAAACATTTTACTGTGTATAAATACAGTTGAAGTCAGAATTATTAGCCCCCGTTTTTTTTTTTTCAATTTCTGTTTAACAGATTAATTTTTTCAACACATTTCTAAACATAATAGTGTTAATAACTCATCTCTAATAACAGATTTATTTTATCTTTGTCATGATGACAGTAAATAATAATAGGCTAGATATTCTTCAAAACACTAGTATTCAGCTTAAAGTGATATTTAAAGGCCTCACTAGGGTAATTAGGTTAACTAGGCAGGTTAGGGTAATTAGGCAAGTTATTGTATAACGATGTTTTTTTCTATAGACTGTCGGAAAAAAAGATATAGCTTAGAGGCTAATAATATTGACCTTAAAATGCTGTTTAAAAAATTAAAAACTGCTTTTATTCTAGTTGAAATAAAACAAGTAAGACTCTCTCCGGAAGAAAAAACTATTATCAGACATAAAAAATTCAAAGGGGGCGAATAATTCTGACTTCAACTGCATTTACACAATATATTCATAATTGAAGGCAAAACTATTGATGAAATGTTCATATATTACAGATATTTTATAAGTGATTTTTAAAAGAGAAAAAAAAAGATTTCTGAACACAAGTTTGTAGAACTCATTTCTAATAACTGATTTGTTTTCTCTTTGTCATGATGACAGCACATAACATTAGACTAGATATTCTTCAAGATACTAGTGTTCTAAAATAATACAGAGCCTGACATAAACAAATAATTAAGTAAATAAATAAACAAACACAGTTTTTGGGAATTAATTAATGGAAGAAACGACCAAAAGAAGGAAGGAAAGAAAAATGGAAGGAAAGACGGAGGGAAGAAATGAAGGAATGAATGGAAGGAAGAAGAACTAAAGAAAAGAATTAATTAATTAATGAATGAACGGAAAGATGGATGGATGGATGGATGGATGGAATGAATGCATGAATGAAGGGAAGAAGGATGAATGAATGAAAGGATGGATGGATGGATGGAATGAATGAATGAAAGGATGGATGGATGGATGGAATGAATTAATCCATGAATGAATGAATGAATGAATGAATGAATGAATGAATGAAATAAAATGAAATGAATGAAAGGTAGAAGGATGAATGAATGAATGAATGAATGAATGAATGAATGAATGAATGAATGAATGAATGAATAAAAGAATGAATGAATGAATGAATTAATTAATTAATGGAGAAAAGGAAGGAAGGGATGAATTAATAAATGGAAGATAAGAAGGAAGGAAGGAAGGAAGGAAGGAAGAAAGGAAGGAAGGAAGGAAGGAAGGAAAGAAGAGGTGATGGAGAGAGAGAAAGAAAGAAAGAAAGAAAGAAAGAAAGAAAGAAAGAAAGAAAGAAAGAAAGAAAGAAAGAAAGAAAGAAGGAGGAGGGAAGGAAAAAAATGGAAGGGTAGAAGGATGAATGAATGAATGAATGAATGAATGAATGAATGAATGAATGGAGAAAAGGAAGGAGGGAGCAATTAATGAATGGGAGATAGGAAGGAAGGAAGGAAGGAAGAGATGGAGAGATTGAATGAGGAAAGAAAGAGAGAGAGAGAGAGAGAGGGATAGAGTGAGGGAGAGAGAGAGGGACTTACTCAATGTACTTGAGCGAGACCTTCTGTGTGTGTTTGGTGCTGAGCGTCAGGATGTACATCTGAAGAGCAGCGAGACGAAGAGCTGTGTCGTATTTCAGCTCCGATCCGAAACGCTCCTGCACCACATCCTTACAGCTCTGCATTCAGAACACACACACACAGTCAACAACACACAGCGCAAAACCTTTCCTCTGCTGTTTGCCTTCACAATCTCAATATCTGCATAGAATTATGCTGTATGCCATGTGCATAATAATAATAATAATAATAATAATAATAATAATAATAATAATAATAATAACTAGAATTGTACATTTCCTAAAGGAAATGTGAATGGGGTTTGCGTGGAAAATCGATGGGGTACAAAATGATACTAAACTGGGCAATAGCACTGGAAAGGTAAGAAATGGTGGTTGCTAAGATGTTGCTGGGCGGTTGCTAGGGTGTCCTGAGTGGTTGCTAGGGTGTTCTGACTGGTTGCTAGGTGGTTGCTAAGGTGTCCTAAGTGGTTGCTAAGGCATTGCTAGGCGGTTGCTATGGTGTCCTGAGTGGTTGCTAGGGTGTCCTGAGTGGTTGCTAAGGTGTTGCTAGGTGGTTGCTAAGGTGTCCTAAGTGGTTGCTAGGTGGTTGCTAAGGTGTTGCTAGGTGGTTGCTAGGGTGTTCTGAGTGGTTGCTAGGTGGTTGCTAAGGTGTTGCTAGGCGGTTGCTAAGGTGTCCTAAGTGGTTGCTAAGGTGTTGCTAGGTGGTTGCTAGGGTATTGTAAGTGGTTGCTAAGGCGTTGCTAGGCGGTTGCTAGGGTGTTCTGAGTGGTTGCTAGGTGGTTGCTAAGGTGTTGCTAGGCGGTTGCTAAGGTGTCCTAAGTGGTTGCTAGGTGGTTGCTAAGGTGTTGCTAGGTGGTTGCTAGGGTGTACTGAGTGGTTGCTAGGTGGTTGCTAAGGTGTTGCTAGGCGGTTGCTAAGGTGTCCTAAGTGGTTGCTAAGTGGTTGCTAGGGTGTTGCTAGGTGGTTGCTAGGGTATTGTAAGTGGTTGCTAAGGCGTTGCTAGGCGGTTGCTAGGGTGTTCTGAGTGGTTGCTAGGTGGTTGCTAAGGTGTTGCTAGGCGGTTGCTAAGGTGCCCTAAGTGGTTGCTAGGTGGTTGCTAAGGTGTTGCTAGGTGGTTGCTAGGGTATTCTGAGTGGTTGCTAAGGCGTTGCTAGGCGGTTGCTAGGGTGTCCTGAGTGGTCGCTAGGCCTTTACTAAGGCGTTACTAGGCGGTTGCTAGGTGGTTGCTAGGCGGTTGCTAGGGTAATTTGGTTGGTTGCTAGGCAGTTGCTAGGGTACCTTGGGTGGTTACTAGGCAAGCCTCACATACATGCCAGATGAAATACTTATACTTAGTAAGCATTTCTAGCAAGTTACAGTACTTGGCTAGTCAATATTAGCATGTAGCTAGTCACTGCTAGCATGTGTAGCATATAGGAAGTTCCGTTTGCTAGCATGAGTCAAACGAGCCAATCCCCAAGTCTCTATGATGTTCCGATGCTGAGATATAGCTGTTGATGAATGGTTGCTAGGGTACTCTTTTTTGTTGCTATGGGCGAGGTTACAGAGTGAACTTGAATGTGGTTGGCTGTCTAAGTCAAATTAAGCAACCCCCATGTCTCTATGACACTGCTATGTAAAGATATGCATCTAGGCCAGTTATAATGACAGTCTAGGGGACCAGTTTGGGGGCGTGGCTTGTGAGCTTCATTATCATATTGAGATGCTCATTGGTTGTCTTAGTCAGATGAGCCAACCCCCAAGTCAATAGGACACTGCTAAGCAAAGATATGCATGTAGACCAGTTACAATGGCAGTCTATGGGACCAGTTTGGGGGCGTGGCTTGTGAGCTTCATTATCATATTGAAAAGCTCATTGGTTGTCTGAGTCCAATGAGCCAACCCCTAAGACTTTAGGACACTGTTATGCAAAGATATGCATGTAGAACATTTAAAATGGCAGTAAATGGAACACTTATTAAGGGTATTTAAATGGATTTGTGGGCGTGGCTTAAGAGCTTCATTATCATATTGAAAAGCTGATTGGTTGTCTGAGTCAGATGAGCCTTCCCCCAAGTCTGTATGACACTGCTATGCAAAGATATGCATCTAGCCTTATTATAGTAGAAATCTATGGGACCCATTTGGGGGCGTGGCTTGTGAGCTTCATAATCATATAGTGATGCTGATTGGTTGCCTGAGTGAAATGAGCCCACCCCCATTTCTCTATGACACTCCTATGTAATGTTATTGATGTGTGACATTTATAATGGAAGTGAATGGGATGTGCAATGGGACGTCCCACCCCATGTTAAGTCAATGGGTCAGTTATTAAGGGTCTTTAAATGGTTTGGGGGGGCGTGGCTTGTGAGCTTCAAAATCATATTGAGATGCTGATTGGTTGCCTCAGTCAAATAAGCCAACCCCTAAGTCTATGACACTGCTATGTAATGTGATTGACATGTGAGTCAAGAAATGAATGGGAGTCAATGGGCAATGTAAAGTCAATGGGGACCCCTTTGGGACGTCCTAGCACCCCAGGGGTACAACTTATACCCCCTTTTGGGGTATGTTCTCTTACAGGCTGCAACCCCCTACAGATGTTGCGAATCCCATATTTCTACGAATTTCACACTTGCCGCTATAACGCCTCAAAGGTCGTCCCATTTCGCGGCGCGTTTAGTGCTCTCCTAGAAAAATGAATGGGAGTCAATGGGGCCCATGTAAGTCAATGGGAAAACTTTGGGACGTCCTAGAGCCCTAGGGGTACAACTTATACCCCCTTGCGGGGTATGTTCTTACTTAGGCTGCAACCCCCTACAGATGCTGTGAATCCCATATTTCTATGAATTTCACACTCGGCGCTATAATGTGTCAAAGTTGGGCGTAATGTTGAGTCAATGCGTTTTGGGGGGTGGTTTTGGGGCCCCTGCGGGGCCCCAAAACCACCCACCCCTTATAAAAGTCATAGCACACCATTCCCGATAAAGCCGCACGATTTGAGCCCACTTTCAAGGGTCTGGGACGAAAGCTGCGGGACGAGTTACGCGCCGAAAAAGTGTACGGAAGAAGAAGAAGAAGACAGAATAATAAACCACAATAGTAAGAATGGACTTTGCCTAAGGCAAACCCCATTAATAATTCATGACAATCCATGAAGCCATTTACACTGCAGGACTGTGTGTCCTTCACTGCTCAACATTTTGCAGTCAATGCATATTCTGATAAAAATAAGTGAATACATGAATAAATAAAATGAAGTTTATGTAAAAAGCATGTGATATTTGGGAAAAAGCAAAACAAAAAAAAAAGATAAGCAATAAAATAAAATAGATTGAAAAAAAAAAAGTAAATAAATAAATACATTTCAGGTGAAAAGCATGGGATATTTGGGGGAAAAGCATGACTATCATAAAATACAAATAAATAAATTAACAAACAAGCAGATAAACAAAAAAATAATAATAATTAAATAATGAAATAACCGATACATTTTTTTTGTCAAAAGTAATATTTGGCAAAAAGCATAAAAAACTAAATTAAATTAAATAAAAAAAATTCAGGTCATTTTGGATATTTAATAATAATAATAATAATAATAATAATAATAATAATCATAATAATAAATAATTTATTATTTAAAAAATAATAAAATAAGATAACTAAATAAGTAAATTCATTTCAGATGAAAAGTATGTGATAATTGGGAAAAAAAGAACGATTATAAAAAAGTATATTAATAAACCTATAAATTTATAAATAAAAAATTCAAAAGCATGCGTTATTTGGAAAAAGGTATAAATATTATAAAATTTTTTATAAAAAAAACAAAATAAAATAAAAAAGTAAGTACATTTCAGATTAAAAGCATGTGATATTTGGTGGGAAACGCATAAAATATTAAATAAAAAAATAAAATAAAATAAAATAAAATAAATTGAAATTGAAAAAAAAATAGATAAATAAATAAATAAACAAAGAAACCGGTAAATAAATAAATGAATAAAAATCGAGTCAAAAGTAATATTTGGCAAAAAGCAACAAATTTTATTAAATTAATTTACATAAAAAATAAATTAAAAAAAATCAGGTCAAAAGCATGTGACATTTTGGATATTTAATAATAATAATAATAATAATAATAATAATAATTTATTATTTAAAAAAATACTGAATTAAGATAAGTAAATACATTTCAGATGAAAAGCATGTGATAATTGGGAAAAAGCATAACATTTATAAAAAAAATAAATTAATAAACCGATAAATTAATAAATAAATAAGTCAAAGCATGCGGTATTTGGAAAAAAGGTATGAATAAAAAATTTAATAAAAGAAATCAAAATAAAATGAAAAAGTAAATGCATTTCAAAAAAGCACAACTATTACAAAAATTTAAATGAAATACAATGAACAAAAACTAAGTAAATAAATACCTTTCAAGTCAAAACGCAAAAACGCATAAAATACTAAAAGAGGGAATACATATACATATACATTTAAATAAAATAGATAAATAAAAATGTAATTAATTAAATTAAATTAAATTAAATTTAGGTTAAAAGCATGTGACATTTGGGAAAAAAGCACAAATATTAATAATAATAATAATAATAATAATAATAATAATAATAATAATAATAATAATAAGTAGGTAAATCAATTTCAGGTGAAAACATGTTTAGAGGAAAAAGCATAACTATTTAAGATAAACAAACAAACAAACAAACAAACAAACAACAAAGACAAAAACAAAGACACTAAACAAACAATTGAATACAATTAAAGTCCAAAACATGTGATATTTGAAAAGAAAACAAATATTATAAAAAATTAATAAAATAGGCAAAAAATAAATGAATAAATACAAAAAGCATGTGATATTTGAAAACTATTTATAATAGTTGTATTTGAACACAACTATTATAAAAAACAAACAAACAAACAAACAAAAAACAAACATATAAATAAATAAATAAATACATATAACTCAATTAAAAAATTTAGGGAAAAGCAAAAATTTTTATATTATTATATAATTAAAAATTTATTTAAAAATTTGAATAAATTCAGACATTTTGGATATATAATAATAAGCATAATAATAATAATAAAAAGAAATAAGAAGAAAAAGAAGAAGAAGAATTTTATTTATAAAATAAAATAAGATGAGATAAAATAAAATAAGATAATTAAGTAAGTAAATAACAACATTTCAGATGAAAAACGGGATAAATGGGAAAAATACATAGCTATTATGAAAAAATTTAAAATAAACAAACCGATAAATAAATAAGTCAAAAGCATACGATATTTGGGAAAAATTTAACTGATAAATAAACTATAAAATTCAAATCAAAAGCAGGTAAAATTTGAGAAAAAGTTTAAAAATTAAATGAAATGATTAAAATAGATTAAAATACATTAATAAATAAAATACATTTCAGGTAAAAAGCATGTGAAAAAGTATAAATATTATACATATAAAAAATAATAAAAATGAATTTTAAAAGCATGTGATATTTAGGGGAAAAAGCACAAACATAATAAAATTTAAATATTGGTCAATAAAACCAAAATAAATGCAAACAACAAACTTCTGCTCTCAGATGTGTTACCTGCACATAGAGATAATCAAACGCAGCAGCGTCTCTCCTCAGCAGATCTACAGGATCTTTAGGAAGGAAACTGATGCGGAAATAACACTTCATCTTATGTGAGCCCGGCCTCTGAGTCACCTAAAACCACAATAACTCGTTTAAACATCTCTCTGCGCTTCTTAAAACTTCAGAAACACTTATTATTAAATGCACAAGCACGTCAAACCTGCGTTAGCATCTCCTGTTCGTGTAAAAGCATCAGTTTTGTTGCAGATCCTTCCACCTTGTGCTCCAGCATCAGAGAGAAGTGCTCGATGCTTTTAATAGACAGCTTCTCTTGCAGCGTCAGAATAACATCCTTTCAGAAACACAACAATAAATACATCAGCTCTGTTATACATGATTATTACACGGCTGTCTGGGATACTCGATTATGATTGGTCAGTCAATACCAATTCAGTCAATTTCATTATAGTCAGCTTTGTGTTTTTGACTGTTTGGCGCCATCTTGTGTCTGAATAATGCGCAGGTTAGTGTATACTCCATCAGCTGTTTTAGTGTCTGTCAGCTTTGTGTTTTTGATTGTTTGGCGCCATCTTGTGGCAACAGCTTGTTATTTTAATACAAGTGAAGTTGGTATGACAAAAAAATCCTATAAACCTTTTAATTTCATTTCATTTTTCGGTTAATGCTATATATATATATATATATATATATATATATATATATATATATATATATATATATATATATATATATATATATATATATATTAAGGGTGTCACGATCTTCCAAATCCTCGATTCGATTACATTTTCGATTCTAAAGGCACGATTCGATTTGATTTTCGATTATGAATAATTAATTAATTAATGACCAATTAATTATTTGTAGCCTACCGTTTAAACTACCTGACCTGCATGGTCTGTTTACCCATAAACAAATCATACAGTAAATGAATAAAGGCAAGATACACACATAATTACCACCTGTCAATCACTTTTTCTGCGGGACTCGTGAATAGGCAGTGATCTGTGTCGTTATAATGGCGTCGGTAAAAAAGACGCACAACCAACAGGAACCAGCCAACAGTGTCTGAGGTGTTCGCTAAAATGACTAAGTACAAGTGAGTGAAAGATTGAAGCAGTCCTCTGACTGCCTGGACCTGCTGTCTCGAGCGCATGGCTGTGTGTGCGTCTGTGTGTGTGTGTGTGTGTGTGTGTGTGTCAGAGGTAGAGAGGAAGGAGGGCTGTTCAGAAATGCTACACGCCACTGTGGATGTCAAATCGTTGTCGTTCTAAAATGCCATTTAAAAACAAAGACAGTGTAAACAGGGCCTGAGTGTGTACTTTTCGCGAGCGGATTTGCAACGGGGGCGGGCGGAGGATCGGGTTTGCCGGTGTTGTCTATCGGACCAACCCTAATACGTACATAGCAGAGCTTGCAAAACTGTGTTTTTTTGTCGACAACACGAACGTTGTCAACATAAATCCCTGGAAATCAAAAATGCTTACACACCGGCGACTTCATTGAAAGAGGAGAGGGTTTAAGCTCTGTCGACGGGTCTCCTGCTTCTGCAGTTCAACAAGCACTTCAACAAGCCTGTTTTTTCCCGCTTGGCAAGACAAGCTGACGTGACATGGGGGCGTGGCAGCATCGACGATTCTATTTTTATTCGATAATCGAAACTGAGCATAAATTTCGATCGATTTCGATTTTTAATCGACACCCCTAATATATATATATATATATATATATATATATATATTTTTTTTTTTTTTTTTGACCTGCCAAATACCAGATAATGTCCTAATTGTCATGTAATGATATGGAAAAAGTACAACTTTATAGGGTGTCCAAACTTTTTCACATGACTGTAAATATCCGCAGTGCTAGCGTACCTTAATGGAGGTGTTGCAGTCAAACTTGAAGGATTTGGTTTGTCCGTTTTCCAGATAAACCTTCAACACGTTTGGCATGAAGAGCAGAGAATTATCCTTCACCGACTCCTGCAAATCAACATCATCATCCAGTTATTATATCTTAAGTTTCTGATGGAGTTAATAACTAATACAAGTAATACAAGTAACTAATGTAGTAACTGTAATAAACATACACTCTCAGAAATAAAGGCAAAGTCATTGGGGCAGTACCATTTCAAAATACACACACATGGTGAGACCTTTGAGGAAGCTGTATATATTTTAGCATCTTAGATCAATTAAACCACATGAAGAAAACCCAATACAGTTATAAAGCTTCCGATTTCCAACATTAGCATGAATAAAACAACTTGATGGTTTTTATCTGCTGAATTATCCATCACTGTGTCACAGATTTGCATATTCACATTCATTAACATCTCATTGTGCCACTAATGGAGGAATATGAATAAACAAACGCTGTCGTTTATGTAATGTGTGTCTTTGTAATCTTCATCACAATGCAATAATGTGAAATCACTTTCCGACGTCAATCCGCTTACAGCGCAAAACGTCCACTTTTCACAATCCAATCAATCTCAGATGATTATAATCAAGGCCCAACACTCTTTTCCTCTCTGAATCTCCGCTTTTACCCAGAAACATCACATTATAAAGTTCAGAGTTGTAAACAGAGCTGGATTATATGTAATCTGGATTACGTAATGAGATTACAAAAATCAGATTACTTGTAATTAGAGTAAACTACTTTTAAAAAACTCTAAAACAAATAAATAATTAATTAAACATCATAGCTAAAATTAAAGTGAAAACAAATTATATAAATGAATAAAACTAATTATAAAAAACAATCGTAGATATAATTAAAGTTAAAAACTAAAAATGTAAATAAAAAATACAAAATTTAAACTCGTGAAGGTTCACGCAAGAAGGATACTGTTTCGATCCTTGGACGGGTCAGTTGGCGTTTGCATGTGTGGAGTTTGTGTAGCAGGGTATGTTGTTACACCAGATTATAAATCATTATTTCTTTATTTTATGGTATATTTAAATAATTATTTGTCTAGGGTCTTTTATTTTGAAAGTTTGTTGTGCGCTTTCGCTGGGTTGGGAGTTGCAGTGTGCATGTCGGCTGACGTTGCGTAGCAAGCGATATATAAGTGTTGGTGCACTCAGAGCTCTTCCTCTTTCCCGATGTCTGTTAAGAGGAGAGGTACGGTTTAGAGGTCTGCATTCCCGCGGCTGTCCCGCGGGCGCCACAGGACCCGACCAGATTTCTGCGAAGCGGGAATAAATTTCTGGATAAATCGCGGGAGCGGTCGGTAACGGGTTTAATTTGGGATGGGAGCGGGCTGTCTAGCAATATCGCGGATATTGCTATGAGAGAGAGAGAGAGGAAGAGAGAGAGAGAGAGTGAGAGAGAGAGAGCGAGCGAGCTTTGCCTGTGTGTGTGCTTGTGTGTGTATGTTAGTGCGCGCGCGAATGAGAGAGAGAGAGAGTGAGAGAGCTTTCCTAGATAGCAAAATACACTCGGGCCAGTTCCGGCTAGATTCTCGCCTCCCAGAGATTAACCACTCAGCCCGGCTCCGGCTGCCGGACTCCGGATGTTTGTGGACTCACTGCCCGATTCCGGCCCGAATCAATCAGGCCAGATGCGGCGGCCGTAAGCGAGCTGACGCTGCCGCATCCGCGCCGGAATCGGCCCGAGAGTAATGTGCGCTGCGGCCCGGAGCTGGCGCGACTCAGTATTTACATAACTTTATATAAAACCTTTTAGTATTACATTGGTACTTGATACATGGTATTACAAGCCTGTGAGTTGATATAATAGCAATCGCCTGTGTGTCTGCCTGGTGCTTGTGTGTTTGTTAATGCGTGCGCGCGCGCGCGCGTATGAGAAAGAGAGAGAGATTTGTCTGTGTGTGTGTGCTTGGTGCTGTGTGTGTGTGTGTTTATACAGACAGCTTGGCTGTCTGGACTGTATAGCTGGGGGATTTTCGGTTTTGTTCTCCCTCGCTCTTTAGCGGGATCGGGCGCGGCGGGCAGAAAATGGGGCGGGTCGGGCAGCGGGACAATAAATTCTTGATATAAGCGGGAGCGGTCGGGTTCGGGCTAAAACCTGGCGGGTGCGGGCGGGATTCAAAATTTAGTCCCGCGCAGATCTCTAGTACGGTTTCTATGAGCTCTGCTCATTTGATGTTAAAATGCTGTGTAGCTGTATATATTATGTTTTGATGACCTGCTTTTGAGAAATTAGTACATATAATGTTATATTTGACCACTTGTTCAAGTTGTTAAGTTAGGTTTTATTTGAGTGCTGTTATTGGGTGAAAGTTATATAGTGTGAAATGGCGGCCCACGTGTGTGCGTCGCGAGTGAGAGAGGTATTAGCGCCATCGCGGCTAAAGTTTTGATTAAATACCTTATTATTAGATAGATCTACTTTGATAAATAGATAGATATGCAATAATAAATAATATATAGATGTGTGTAGATGTATATAAATGGTTAAATATGTATAATTATGTGTATAAGTTTGAATATATATATTTTGTAAGCACACCAAAGATGCATTGTGATTTAATAATAGAATAGACATTACAGCAGTGTGTTTTATAGTTAAATACCTGTTTATTTCAAAGATATCTTGTGGTTAACAGGCAAAACAGAGACTCAACTGACATTGAGAGGGTAACTGCCTGATTGTGTGTGTTGTACAGGTATGTAAATTGAGACTAATGCTGTAAATGTGAATAATTATTAGTATATTTTTATATAAGAGTTATTTATATTCATATTGTTATTATTATTACTATTATTTTATATTAGTATGTGACATATACATAGTGTAAGTAAATGTGTAAGTGTGTGTATATGGAGAGTTTGTTTTTCTCTCTTTCCCGATGTCTGTTAAGAGGAGAGGCAACTGAGGAGACTCAACTGAGATTGAGAGGGTAACTGCCTGATTGTGTGTTGTACAGGCAAAAATAAAATCACCTCAGCACGACCAGCTTTGTGTGGAGACTTTCTTTCATTCTAAAAATATACACAACGCAGAGAAACGACTAAATTTGCATGTTTCTCCCTGCGTTCGCGTGGGTTTCTTCCGGGTTCCCCCACAGTCCAAACACATGCAGTACAGGTGAATTGGGTAGGCTTAATTGGCTGTAGTGAATGAGTGTGTGTGGATGTTTCCAAGAGATGGAAAAGGCTGGAAGGGCATCCGCTGCGTAAAACATGTGCTGGATAAGTTGGCGGTTCATTCCGCTGTGGCGACCCCGGATTAATAAAGGGAGTCAGCCGAAAAGAAAATGAATGAATGAACGTTGGTTTGTTTGTTATATATTAGACTAGGGTTGGGCGATGTCGACCAATTTGGCATCGTACGATGCCTAATGTGAAACATTGCGATGGACGATGGCATCGTCATCATGTGAAAACAGACAGAGTGCGCGCGACGTGTCTGAAGAGGGATCCAGGGGTGAGAAGAGTGCGTGACTTATTTGAGGACCAAGAGATAATCTTTCCGGAAGATTATCACTCGTATGCGGGAATTATGAGTCCCGCAGATGCATAGAGACTCCCGGAACGTTCGGGAGACTTGGGATGTCTGAAAATCACGTTTAACTAACTAACTATAATGAGACGCGATCCAGCGGTACATCCTTGATAAACTGTCCAACGTGTACTGCTCTCTGGAGCTCAGAGGAATGCAAGATGTGCGTTTTCAGCGGACGGAGGGCTGTTCAGAAATGCTAGGTAAAACACGGTGTGGATCATTTTCATTCTAAAATGGCATTTTACCACTAAGTCGTATTAGTGTAAATGGGGCCTGAGTGTGTATTTGTCGCGAGCGGGTTTGCGACGGGCGGAGGATTGGCGATGCTGGCTCAGCATCGTGTTGTTTATTGACCATCGGTGATGGATGATGGCAACGTCTATCGGCCCAATCCTATGTTAGACTAGTCAATCAATCACGCTATAACCATGCTAGGTTGTCTTTGTTTTGCCTCACAGAAGAGGTCACTTTAATGATAGATCTTGCTAAAAGCTTTACTAAAACAAGTTTACTAAAATTTCTAAACTATTCATCGATTTCACAAGAAGTAGTTATAAATCTCTTTCTAGATAAATAAATAATTATAGAGTCCGCTCAGATGAGCGGGCAAAGTCATTGTTATATTTATTTAGTTAAATTAACTATAAGTTAATTCAGAATATTAATAATTTAAAATCGTTATTATTGACATCTTCATTCATAAACTGAGCTAATTTCGCTACAATTATGATTAGAAATGTGTTGAAGGAAATCTGCTCTCCGTTAAATAGAAATTGGGGAAAAAGATATACAGGGTGTTAATAATTCTGACTTCAACTGTATGTGACGTCAAATAAGAGTTAGTACAAAAGTAAAGCATCTAAATGTAATCCAAAAGTAGTCCGATTACATTAACATAAAGGTGTAATCTAGCTGATTATGTGACAGATTACAGATTGTGTTGTGAAACTTGTAATCAGCAGCTGATTTTGGTTCATAAGTAATAGTTAATGCAAAAAATAAAATGAAAAATTTGTGCTATATGACATGCTTTCCAAGCAAAACGTGTCATTTTTCACTCACCGGCACTTGTCCATTAATAATGACTTCTTCAGCAAAGCGCACTTTGACCGGATTGGATTTCAACTTGGCCTTTTTAGCTGCACTGATGAAGGCAGATTTGGGAGACTGGGAAAACAAAAGCAGAAATATTACTGAAAAATCAGTTTTATTAGGTTATCATCTTCTGCACAAAAGCTTAGGCAGAGACTAACAAGCAGATCTACATGGAGACTGCAGCAGGGTTATTATCTTTAACAAAAACCAAACCTAAAAGCAGAATAAAAAGAAAAAAAGTAAATCAACGCTGAGTGAAATTATACAGTTAATTTCAGCATTATTTTAGTTCATCATTAAAGAACAAAAAATAAAGAACTAAACGTTAATAAAACTCACTAGAAATGCTAAAAAGTAAGTCAAATAAATAAAAATTGTTGTAGAACATGCGACAAATTTACCAACATTAAATAAAATAAAGAAAGAAATATGTAAAAGTGTTTTTTTTTTTTTTTTTGAGCTTTGATTGGGACTAAATTCTTTCCCAGAGATGGGTTGCGACTGGAAGGGCATCTGCTATGAATAAATGTGCTGGATAACAGAGGTGTGAACCTATACTGGTCTCACGGTTCGGTTACGATTATCATGCCATCGATTCGGTTCAATTCGATATCTTGGTGCATTGACGATGCTTTCCATACACAGTTATATTTTGGGGGAAGGCTATAACAAGCTATATAAACAAACACACACACACACACACACACACACACACACACACAGTCTCTCATTCACACACATACACAAACATAGACAGCACCAAACAAACAAACCCACACACACACTTCCTCTCCACACACAGCCCTCCACACTTTCCACACACAGCCCTCTCAATATGCGTTTAACCGGGAGAGCTCGCGCTGAGCGGAGCAAGAAAAAGAAAAGAAAATAAAGACGCACTTTTCCGAGGATCCCTTACTGAGAGTTCGGCTCCGTGCGAGCTATCCCGGCTAAAAGCATATTGTGAGAGCTTAAAGGGAGCAGTGGTCGTAATGTCGAGCAAAAAAAAAAAAGGAAAAGGACAGCTGTGAAACATAACCAGCTTTGTCTTTTTGTAGGAAACACACTTTAAATGTTTTTAGGGTAAGAGGTTTTTGAGCTATTGCCGCTATTTCTGGTGCCCCCCTGGATTTACAGCACCCTTGGCATTTGCCTATACTGCCTATGCCACGAGCCAGCCCTGAGTTGGCTCCTGAGTGTTGTAAATACACCTCCCTCGCGACAGAGCGCATAGGAGATAAATGACGTCGGTACATGATTTTTACTGAACCGATACCGAATTATCCGCGTCTGCATCGCAGTGCACCGAAAAAACAATTAATTTTGACATCCCTACTGGATAAGCTGGCGGTTCATTCCGCTATGGCGACCTCGAATTAATAAAGAGACTAAGCTGACAAAAAATAAATTAATGAATGAATGAATGAATGGTACTAAATTCCAGTATCGTGACAACCCAAATACATATTATTAGGTGTTGTCACGATACTGGAATTCGGTACCGATCGATACTCAAGTTTTAAACCGTCCAAAACAACATTTGACTGCTATTGAGAACATTCTATAACAGCGCTGATTTGCTGTTGTATTCACATGCTCAACAGAAATGACTGTGATTGGCCATGAAGGTCAGCAGAATAATTAGTAGATCAATGCCTGATCAAATTAGCCAATATACTGACAAACTCGCAGTAAAAGAGAGAGTTAATCAGTATAGTGAATGTCGAGCATCACAATTCTCTGCTTCACAGTATTTCTTATGGGAAAAAAAAGCACTTACAGGATACGGCTGCACCACCGTCAGGATGATGGACTCCTTACAGCTCCTGCAAAACAACAATAATGTGCAATAATAAAGTGCAAAACACTCCTGGGGCCTGTACCTTGAAGCCGGATTAGTTAGCCAATTAAATTCCGGTTTATTTATTGCACCAATCCTGGGTTTTAGACACCATACGGGGGAACTCGGATTTAATTATGCTTTGTTGCTATTTTAGCTATCACTGCATGGCTTACCTGCTCCAGAGAATGTTATGTTTAGATAATGGTTATGGCTATGTTCTAGCTATGTTCAGTTAATGTTTTGATTTTGTTCAGGTAATGTTCGGCTACTATTCAGTCACCATTCTGGTTATGTTCTGGCTATGTTCCGTTAATGTTCTGGTTATGTTCAGATAATGTTAAGGTAATATTCAGCTACCATTCTGGTTATGTTCAGGCTATGTTCTGGTTAAGTACAGGTAATGCTCGGCTAATAATAAGTTACTATTCTGGTTACTATTCAGTCTATGTTTTGCCCATGTTCAATTAATGTTCTGGTTATATTTAGGTAATGTTTGGCTAATATTTAGTTACCGTTCTGGTTATGTTCAGGCTATATTAAGGATATGTTCTAGCTAAGTTCAGTTAATATTCAGATAATGTTAAGGTAATATTCAGTTACCATTCAGGCTATGTTCAGGCAATGTTCAGTTAATTTTCTGGTTTTGTCCGGGCTATGTTGAGGATATGGTCTGGCTATGTTTTGTTAATGTTCTGGTTATGTTCAGATAATGTAATATTAAGTTACCATTCTGGTTATGTTCAGGCTATGTTCTGGTTATGTTCAATTAATATTCTGGTTACGTAGGTAATGTTTGTCTAATATTCAGTAATTATTGTGGTTATGTTAAGGCTATGTAAAGGATATGTTCTGGCTAAGTTCAGTTATTGTTCTTTTTATGTTCAGATAATGTTAAGGTAATATTCAATTACCATTCAGGCGATGTTCGGGCAGTTTTCGGGCTGCGTTCGGGCAATCTTCGGGCAATCTTCAGGCAATCTTCAGACGATGTTCTGGCTATGTTCAGGTTATGTCTGGCCATGTTCTGGTAATATTTAGGTTATGTTCTGGCTATGTTTGGGTTATGTTCAGATTATGTTCAGATAATGTTCAGGCTATGTTCTGGCCACGTTCAGGCTAAGTCTGGCCATGTCCAGGCTATGTTCTGGCTTTGCTCAAGTTATGTATGGCTAATGTTCAGGTTATATTTAGGTTATGTTCATGTAACCCCGCCAGTCCTTTGTCACCCAACCTGCTTCGAGCTGGGATCGAACCGCCTACTTTCCGCATGGGTTGCTCTAACAAGGAGGCTAAAGACCATGGTCTCTAGCGTCTGTCGCTAGAGCACCTTTAGAGATCAGAGGAGTGAGGTTTACCTGCACAGCACTGACTAGCTGGCCTCTGCTACACTCACCCCCCTAAACCTCACTCCCATCCGGGTCACGGCACCAATGTAGCCCCGCTGATCCTACGCCACCCAACCCGCTCCGAGCTGGGATCGAACCGCCGACTTTCCGCATGGGAGTCGGTTGCTCTAACAAGGAAGCTAAATACCATGGCCTATAGCATCTGTCGCTAGAGCACCTTTAGAGGTCATAGTGAGGTTTACCTTCACAGCACTCACTAGCTGGCCTCTGCTACACTCAGGTTATGTTCAGGTAATGTTTCAGACTATGTTCAGGCTATGTTCTGGCAATGTTCACACCATGTCTGGCCATGTTCAAGCTGTTCTGGCTTTGCTCAAGTTATGTTTGGCTAATGTTCAGGTTATGTTCTGGCTATGCTTAGGTTATGTTCAGGTAATGTTTCAGGATATGTTCTGGCTTTGCTCAAGTTATGTTTGGCTAATGTTCAGGTTGTGCTCTAGGCACTTTTTTCATCTTTTACTTTCCAGTTTTATTTAACTACTTTTGTTTTTAAATTAGTTTTAATTTTACACATTGATTTCCCATTTCTTTTAAGTATTTTTGGAGAGCTTAAATGATGGAGTGGATTACCTGACTAGGTCGATCACTCGTTCCCTTGGAGCCGAACTCACGGGTTCCTCATTTATCATCACTATTTCATCTCCTGGGATCAGCTTTCCTTCTGAAGGCCCTCCTGCGCATTCATCACACACACAGATGAACACACAGGCACAGAGAGAGATGCAGACATACATATACATACATGCAGACAAACACACACAAACATAGTTAGAGATGAAAAGAAACAGAGATGCAGGCACGCACACACACACACACACACACACACACACACACACACACACGCGCACACATAGACATAGACAGGCAAACACACGTACACAAACACACACATTACATACAAATATACACACACAGACACAATAAACCAGATGCAGACACACATGCAGACAGGTATACACGCACACACAGAGATACACAGTTGCACACCCAGAAACAAACAAACAAACAATCAAACACACATGCACGCAAACGCACGCGCACGCACGCACATGCGCGCGCGCACACACACACACACACACACACACACACACACACACACACACACACACACACACACACACACACACACACACTCTCTCTCTCTCTCTATTTGAGCCTATTTTCAATAAAAGTAGTGTGTTGCTTTAAAGACTTACGCAATCTAGTTATCAGTCCCCTTCATTTGAATAAAATTTAAATATTCATACATTACATGTTCCTGAGCTGAATGTACCAGCCGAGATAGATGACATGCAAATCCATTTAAGATAATGAACAATCTGATAATGCTGTCCAAACTGGCACAATAACAACCGCAGATGGTAAACTCAGGCCTGCTCTGTTCTTCCAAGAATAAAACCCTTGAGTTTAAAAGAGCAGGTCATGCGGGCTTTCAAGAGTGCATATATATATATATATGTGTGTGTGTATATATATATATGTATGTATGTATGTATGTATGTATGTATGTATGTATATATATATATATATATATATATATATATATATATATATATATACATACATACATACATACATACATACATACATACATACATACATAATAAATATATATATATATATATATATATATATATATATATATATATATATATATATATATATATATATATATATATATATATATATATATATATATATATTATTTTATTATTATTAATATTATTTTTATTTATTTATACAACAGTTCTGTCTGGTTCTTGAATCTGATTGGCTGATAGGCCTTCACCTTTGTGTATTACTCCGCCCACAGCCAGCAACAAGCAGAGAGACACTCTACAGTTTGACAAATATTACTGCTGGTAGACAAAAAAAATGTACCTTTGAGGCTTTTTTTAGTGGAGATTGTAGTTGTTTAGATTGAAACTATGCAGTTTATTTGTAAGAATAGTGCCTATTTTAAAATATTTACAATTTCTGAAAGAGCTCGTCGGTGGCCATTAGCTGCCAGAGTAGACCAGAGACGGTTGACGTTTTCTATCCACAAGATGGCGACAGAACCGCATAATAAGCCCTTAAGCTTAGAAGATATAACAGTCTGATTTCTAACTACAGCTGGTCAAATCATTATTAAACTGGTAAGCAATACCTGCTGACACTTCCGTTTTTCATGGGAGTATTCTGTATTTCAGACCAATCTCCCGCAACCATCGCGTTTTTTATTTCTTCCGGAAAACTCCCGTAATTTCACCCCCCACCCTTTTCTTTTTTTTGGTAAAGTCTGTAAACACCCCCGGGCCGCCAACTTTGTCGAACAAGTTGATCTCTCTCTTTTGTATGTTGTAGTGCTGTATTTATACCGATTTGCTCGCATATCAGCAATGTGTGTTGTGTTGGCAGATTGAAAGAAGCACAGTCTGCATGTGTTTAGCGTTTTTCCTTATAGCAAACACAACAGCAGTCTGGTAGTGATTGCGCTGCTTTTTACGGGGTTAATTATTGTGATATCCCGATTGCAACAGAGAAATACTGTAGACTGTAACACTGTGAGAAGATATCTCTGTAGACTGATGGCATTTCATGTCACTGTCAGCTTTATAATCTCAAAGTGTGAGCAAAGTCAGCTGTTTTGTCTTAACTTTAGACATTACGCTAGAGAATCATTCAAACACTAGTTCTAAAGTGACATTGGTGAATGAGTAACGGCTTCTGTTGTTCTGACGTCAGCTGCAGATGTGAATGAATGGCAGAAGAAAGTAGTTCTTAATATTAAGGTGTTTTTAGGCTCGCCGTGTTTGATTATCTTATTTATAAACACGATTGTGCTGTCGAACTGTTGTATAAACGCAATATCACACTTGTAGCAGTGCACCCCTCCCACCAGTGCTGATATACAGCTATATCGCACTGCTACTCGTGTGATATTGCTCATATACACACACATACATATACATACATGTACATAAATGCGCACACACACACACACACACACACACACGTGTCTATATATGTTTATTTACATGAATATATATATATATATATATATATGGTGTAGATCATATACACATATCATTGGCATCACTAATATCAATAAATGTAGCTGATCTAGTTATTTGTGTACCTGGAGTAACAGATCGAACCACGACAGGTTTCTCACTGCCCGCCACGAAGCCAAAGCCGAGCACCGGGTCTCGTCTCATCTCCACCTTCCTCGGTGCCGGAGGGACAAACTTCTCCACATCAACGCGCACCTCCTCCAGAGAACTGGACTGCGAGAGGTGACTGCAAAACAAACAAACAAAAAAAGAGGAAAATACATCAATTGAGGCAACATTTCAAGCATTTTCCATGAATTTTGTGTCATTTGGAATTATTTACAACAAATGTCCACTAAAGGAGGTCGAGCATTTTCGTATATGGCTCCAAAACAGGTTATGTTCAGCTTATGTCTGGCCATGTTCAGGTAATGTTTAGGTTTTGTTCTGACTATGTTTAGGTTATGTTCAGGTAATTTTGTGTAATTTGGAATGATTTACAACATATGTACACTAAAGGAGGTCGAGCATTTTCGTATATGGCTCCAAAACAGGTTATGTTCAGCTTATGTCTGGCCATGTTCAGGTAATGTTTAGGTTTTGTTCTGGCTATGTTTAGGTTATGTTCAGGTATTTTTGTGTAATTTGGAATGATTTACAACATATGTCCACTAAAGGAGGTCGAGCATTTTCATATATGGCTCCAAAACAGGTTATGTTCAGGTTATGTCTGGCCATGTTCAGGTAATGTTTAGGTTTTGTTCTGGCTATGTTTAGGTTATGTTCAGGTAATTTTGTGTAATTTGGAATGATTTACAACATATGTCCACTAAAGGAGGTCGAGCATTTTCATATATGGCTCCAAAACAGGTTATGTTCAGGTTATGTCTGGCCATGTTCAGGTAATGTTTAGGTTATGTTCTGGCTATGTTTAGGTTATGTTCAGGTAATTTTGTGTAATTTGGAATGATTTACAACATATGTCCACTAAAGGAGGTCGAGCATTTTCATATATGGCTCCAAAACAGGTTATGTTCAGCTTATGTCTGGCCATGTTCAGGTTTGGGTTTTGTTCTGGCTATGTTTAGGTTATGTTCAGGTAATTTTGTGTAATTTGGAATGATTTACAACATATGTCCACTAAAGGAGGTCGAGCATTTTCATATATGGCTCCAAAACAGGTTATGTTCAGCTTATGTCTGGCCATGTTCAGGTTTGGGTTTTGTTGTGGCTATGTTTAGGTTATGTTCAGGTAATTTTGTGTAATTTGGAATGATTTACAACATATGTCCACTAAAGGAGGTTGAGCATTTTTATATATGGCTCCAAAACAGGTTATGTTCAGCTTATGTCTGGCCATGTTCAGGTAATGTTTAGGTTTTGTTCTGGCTATGTTTAGGTTATGTTCAGGTAATTTTGTGTAATTTGGAATGATTTACAACATATGTCCACTAAAGGAGGTCGAGCATTTTCATTTATGGCTGTGAAACACTAGAAAAGCCTGTATGATAATTTCAGATGCTCAGACACACTCGGTATGAAACTAGACTAAAAACTCATTGTTTTAGTAAAGCATACATATGTATGATGCATTGATAATATGGAGCTCAATTGTATTCATTTCTTAAGATGATGATAATGATGATTATTTAATTGCTGAGTTATAATTAGAGCCAGACTTTTCTTTGCCATTTTTTTAATGCATTTACTTTAGTTGCCATTTCTTTACTGTATTATGGCAAGTGTATTATAACAAAGGTCAGACAGAATCTTCTGCAAATAATTTTGTGGAAGCTCTGCATATTTATGCAAGATAATTTTGTGAGTGTAAGAGTTCTTCCTAACTTTTAAGGCTCACAATGTGAATGCAAATGCAATTACAACCACTTGTTTGTTAAATCAAGCTACAGCAGCTCTCTCATATAATACATCCAACAAATTACTGAAAATATTGCTTCCTAATTATACAAATATGGGCAACATGCTGGCTCAGTGGTTAGCACCGTTGCTTCAAAGTAAGAAGGTCGCTGGTTCGAGCCTCAGCTGGGTCAGTTGGCATTTCTGTGTGGAGTTTGCATGTTCTCCCCGTGTTGGCATGTGTTTTCGTCTGGGTGCTCCGGTTTCCCCCATAGTCCAAAAACATGTGCTTTAGGGTGTGTTTGTGTGTGTGTGTGTGTGTGTGTGTGTGTGAATGAGTTTTTCTCAGTACTGGGTTGTGGCTGGAAGGAACATGCTATCCACCAATCCACTCCTTGTATCAATCCATTGAGCTGCTGCCATGTGATTGGCTGATTAGACATTTGCATTAACGGGCAGTTGGACAGGTGTACCAATGGTAACCTTAGAATATCACAACAGATTAATTCAAGTACAGTATGATGTAGTATTCATTAACAGAGTTGTTTAATATATACAGTATACTATAGTATGATTTTAAAATATTGTGTTATTTACAGTAAAGTGTGTTTTATTATAGCGTTTACAACACACTGTAATATTAACTAACGTGGACTGATGAACTAATAAATATTGTAATACACTTTAGTTTTTACTACAGTAAACTGTGGTGTATTGTAGTATAGCATACCCTATAGTTGTAGAAACAGTATTGGGACAATTGTATGTTTATATTACTATAGTTGCCGTGTAGTGACTATAGATTTACCACAACAGTAAATGCTATAGCACCAAAACACCACAGCATTTACTGTAAGATACTACAGTATTTCTTTTTCCCATGTGGGCAGATTACACAGCTCTTGCTCTCCTACTTCATAACAGCGACATTTGAGACGCAGGTTTGACATTCCCCATTCAGACACAACACAGTGGATGTGAACACAATATAAAGCCGTGGAAATGATTTGTCTCTGCGGGAACCGTCACGCCTCTCAAAGGTTCTGCCGATCTGTAATTTAGGGGGAGGCGAACAATGGCACTGTGGTACAAAAGGTTGAGGAGGGAAAGAGCTACGAGAGAAGAAACTGCTGGAACTGTTGATGACCCAGTTACACACTGTAATCATTGTAAAGTCAGAGAGTGCTACAGTCGAGTCACAGGAACACACACTACACTTCAAGGCGTCAAAAAAAAAAAAATCTTCGAACATCTGTGAAGAAAATGACGGCATGCAAAGACTTACTGTCTTACTGGAACAATGCTGCTAAATGAAAACTAATTTAGGGATGAACCAATATGGAATATTGACTGATACAGATAACGATATCTCTTTAATATTAGCCGAAAGCCAATATATTAGCTGATAATTCTACATCTAACATATTTTTCTGCATGATTGTGAAACACAAATAGCGAATGCACACAGTGAACAAATGATTTTAGTTTCATATTTTGAATCTAATATCTGGCTTTTATTTAATCAACTATTATTTACCATATACCATATTACTATAGCCATGTTACCATAGCAACTATAAAATAACCAGAACAGATCAATTACTATAGCCATGTTACCATAGCAACTATAAAATAACCACAACAGGTCAGTTACTATAGTCGTGTTACCATAGCAACTATAAAACAACCACAACAGATCAATTACTATAGTCATGTTACCATAGCAACTATAAAATAACCACAACAGATCAGTTACTATTGTTGTGTTACCATAGCGACAATAAAATAACCACAACAGATCAATTACTATAGTGGTGTTACCACTGCAACTATAAAATATCCACAACAGGTTAGTTACTATGGTCATGTTACCATAGCAACTATAAAATAACCACAACAGATCAATTACTATAGCCATGTTACCATAGCAACTATAAAATAACCACAACAGATCAGTTACTGTAGTTGTGTTACCATAGCAAATATAAAAGTATCACAACAGATCAGTTACTATACTTGTTACCATAGCAACTATAAGATAATCACAACAGATCAGTTATTATAGTCGTGTTACCATAGCGACTATAAAATAACCACAACAGATCAGTTACTATAGTCAAGTTACCATAGCGACAATAAAATCGCCACAACAGATCATATACTATAGTTGTTGTGTTACCATAGCAACTGTAGAATCACCACAAAAGATCAATTATTATAGTTGTGTTACTATAGCAACTATAAGATAACTACAACAGATCAATTACTATAGTTGTGTTACCATAGAGACTAGAATTACCACAACAGATCAATTACTATAGTTGTGTTACCATAGAGACTATAGAATTACCACAACAGACCAATTACTATAGTTGTGTTACCATAGAGACTATAGAATTACCACAACAGATCAATTACTATAGTTGTGTTACCATAGAGACTATAGAATTACCACAACAGATCAATTACTATAGTTGTGTTACCATAGCGACTATAGAATCACTACAACAGATCAATTATTATAGTTGTTGTATTATTACCATAGCAACTATAGGATAACCAAAACAGATCAGTTACTATAGTTATCATGTTATCATAGAAATTGTAAAATCATCACAACTGATCGGCTACTATAGTTGACGTGTTACCATAGCAGCTGTAAAATCATTCATTCATTCATTCATTCATTCATTTTCTTGTCGGCTTAGTCCCTTTATTAATCCGGGGTCGCCACAGCGGAATGAACCGCCAATTTATCCAGCAAGTTTTTACGCAGCGGATGCCCTTCCAGCCGCAACCCATCTCTGGCACTGTAAAACCACAACAAATCAATTATTATAGTAGTTACCATAGCAGAATCACTACAACAGAGCAATTACTATAGTTCTTACCAGATCAATTGCTACTGTAGTTGTGTTACCATAGCAACTATAGAATTACTACATAAGATCAATTATTATAGTTGTGTTACTATAGCAACTATAAGATAACCACAACAGATCAGTTACTATAGTTGTGTTACCATAGAGACTATAGAATCACCACAACAGATCAATTGCTACTGTAGTTGTGTTACCATAGCAACTACAGAATTACTACAAAAGATCAATTATTATAGTTGTGTTACTATAGCAACTATAAGATAACCACAACAGATCAGTTACTATAGTTGTGTTACCATAGAGACTATAGAATCACCACAACAGATCAATTGCTACTATAGTTGTGCTACCGTAGCAACTATATCATAAGCACAACAGATCAATTACTATAGCTGACGTGGTACCATAGTGACTATAGAATCACTACAACAGATCAATTATTATAGTTGTTGTATTATTACCATAGCAACTATAGGATAACCACAACAGATCAGTTACTATAGTTATC